CTATGACATTCATTCTTCTTCATCCTGTTAAATAATACTAACTTCAAAAGAAATAAAACAACTTTGGGCTCGATTGTGCTTGTAAGCTGAGGACTACAGGTAACAGAAGGGACCTCTGTTTTCACCCACCCAACAATGTACAGTCTTTTCAGGAAGGATGTCCCCCAACAAACAGGAAAGATATAGGTTTTTTTATCTAAGAAGTTAGATCAAGAAGAATGAATGTCATAGGTAGATTCACAGAGCAATACAGATTTCTTTTTCAGAAATTTATTCCTCAGTTCAAAAAACAGGAATATATGAATTAGTTCAGTACTTAGGTCAGTCCAAGTTGCTATTCAAGAGTTAGTGGTGTCACGGTTAGAAGCAATGGTAAAGCAAGATATAGATTTAAAACCAGAATATCACAACGTGAGTAAAACATGGAGAGCGGCATCAGCATGACTGTTGCCTTCAGAAAGAGGTCCAGGAAGAGACGGGTGACTGTGTATGTGAGAAACAAAGTGTAAATGCTTTCGGTCTTGTAGTAGTTGCTGCAAAGTTAAAAACAAAGCCATGAGATTGGAGTGTGATATAAACACCTGGAAGATTAAAAATAAGTTGATACACATAATGAGAGTCAGAAATTAAAGACTGTTGAGAAATGCATGGAAAGCTAAAATAGCAGCAGATAATTCTGAGCATTGCAGGGACGACTGTATTGCAGTGTAGGACACCTTCCAGGTATCATCATGAAAATCCTTGTAAGCAATCACTCCTCTCGTTTGGCCTCCATCTGAAAAAACAGTAGGAGCTTGCGAAAGTGGAGAAGACGAAAGCAATGGACGGACAGGAAAGGAAGTCATTAAACACACAAGCCGAGGATCTTTAGGCAAATGATATGCAATACAGGCTACATAGTCAGTTAAAGCACACTGAAGTTATTCCGAAAATAAAATTGAAAATCAGATTTCAGAATAGGAAGAACAATATTAATCAAATCAGTCCCATTTCTGCGGCAGTGCATCCTGAAGTTATTAATTCAGCAATGGCCTGGATAAATGGTAAAACATTTTGAGATGGGGTATGAGGTAAATAAAGCCATTCAACGCAGTATACATTTTTGTCTTCTAATACAGCTAATACTCCCATAGGCAGTTTATTAGTAGGAAACACCAAAAGAGTTAACTGACAATCTCTATGAAGAATACAATCCACAAACTGAGTGCTCAAAATATTAATTTTCTCGACTATGGCAAGGGCTGCAGAGGGAACTGCAATAAGAGGCTGTTTTCCTTTGGTCAATAAATCAAATAAGGGACTAAGTAAATCTGTGGGCAAAGAAAAATATGGATGAACCCAATTAAGGGTACCCAGCAATTGCTGTAAATCAACCAATGAAATAACTTTGGGTAAGTTTAAATGAGGAAAAGCCAGAGCAGAATAAAATTGCAACATTTTATGTTCCAAATAAAGATAGGGAGAATGCAGTTGTATTCTGCAAGCCATAGACCCCTAAATCATTTTGTATTTCTGAAAGTCAATTAGGTTGTATCTTTGGGGCTCCAATTAAAATATCATCCATATAGTGATATACCATATAGTGAAGCCTCTGGAGGGAGAAAAAATGGCCCAATGTGCAAACTGAAGGTCCATTCCCGAACTTCCTGTTTATGCATTGGGTTGTTTTTTGCCCTCCGGAGGCATCAGGGAAGCCTCTGGAGGGCAAAAAATAGCCGAAAATGAAGGCTGAAGTCAGCTGGCCAGCGCATGCATGCCCTAACAAATGGCTTGGGGAGGAGTCACATGCGCAAGCATGGGTGGGTCACGTGTGCATGCATAGGTGGGCGGGGAGATTGGGTGGGCACACACAATTTTGGCAGACTGTAAAATAAATGTTTGCCATCACTGGTCTAGGGGCTTTACACATGACGGGCAGCCACCCATTCAGCATCAGATGAAGGGAAGCGTTTCCAGAGAACTAAATACTTGGATATTTTTTATTTCAGAATGTTGTTCTCCTTCAATGAGGTCAGGTAGAGGAGGGGCTGTTGCAGGTGGAGAGGTTTTGGCTAGTTTAAGTAGACTACAGTGGAACATGGGATGTATCCTCCTAAGGTTCTTGGATAGCTTCAGTTCGATGGTTACCAGATTAACAATTCTTGCTATGCAAAGGGCCTATGTCAGTGATGGCAAAACCCACCCCTGTATCTACGGATGGAAACACTTTAAAGCCTATTTTCAAATATGCCCTTAAAAAGCACATTTGTCTAATTTGCTCTTACATATTAGACAAATATTATTTCAGGTCCCTTATTCTTTAATAAATAATAGCATGCAGTTTGGCCTTTCCCACAAGCCTATCAGCATGAAGTTAATTACAAGACAGTCCCTAATGCTATGATATGTTTAAATAGTAATAGCAAAATATCACAGAATGGATTATGTATTAATATTTTAAAATTAAACTAACAGAGTTTACTATGAATGCAGTCCTAGTTTAACATCTCTATATTTGCAGTGTGCAGCCATCAAGTAGAGTCATTTTTATGCATTTATATCCCACCTTTATTGTTTTTATAAATAACTCAAGCCAGTAAACATACCTAAGTATATCTCCTATTATGTAAATTTTAACAAAGGAGTCGAAAAATCCTTCCTATACACATGCGATACTCAAGTGCATTTTGTCACTGCTTTGTGCCCAGCCTAGTATAATTAAAGCTGAAGTTCATAAGGGGAGGCAGAGCTGTTCATTTATTATTCACTATGATAAGCCAGATTGAGGAACACGTGTCTTTCGATTTCTACAAGAGCGTTTTTAGCAGATGATAGTAAATATGGCACCCGGTTCTACCTATCATAATTCATTAGCCATGCCACAATCTTTATCCCAAAGGGGTTTTGACTTTTGTTCTGACTTTTCAGAACAATTATCTTGTTAATTAAATACTAGTTGACATCCTTGACAACCTTGTACTTACATTTCAGGAGGTGATGAGGAATTTGGTGAAGAGATACGTAGCAGCAATGATAAGAGATGCTAAAACTGAAGAGGGATTAACAGAAGAGAATTTTAAGGTAACTGCTCATATAATGAACAATTTAATAACAATGAATCACAAGGTTTCAACTGAGGCCTGTTTAATGTATGACTTTACATTGCATATAGTTCAAAAATAAAGTTATTAATATATAATGTTGTTAATAATTGTTTAATCCAGGGGTCTCCAATCTTTTGGACCTCATGGACCACCAAATCCATAATTTTAAATCCTTTTGGGCCTACCTGTCTCTTTCCGCGAGGCCTCAGGTGGGAGGCCCAAGAGAAAGCGCCTGGTCCAGGGACAAAGCCTGGGAACCTCTTTTGTCTTCCTTCTCCCAAGAACTGGGTCCGTCTGAGTGAAGGAGAAGGAAGACGGGCAGACTGCCAATGGCTTGCTGACCTTGGTGGGAAAACCAGTCCCATATTCCAGAGCTGTAGTAGACACAGGACTGGCCCTTTGGTCGTCCCACAGTAGCTCCTCCACCTGGGTGCACTGGGCTGCAGGGGAGCTCCCGGGCAGGCCAGTGCACCCAGGTGGAGGAGCTGCTCCGGAATGACCGAAGGGCCAGTTCTGTGTCTACTACAGCTCTGGAATATGGGACCGGCCCGTGGTGGTGCTGGAAATCTCTGCCATAGGGGGTGGCATGTGCAGTGTGCAACATGCAAAAAGGAGCACAGCCCTCGCCGGCCAGAACAAGGTAATGGTGCTGTTGCAACAGGGGGGTTGGCCCAAGCAGTCCGAAGTGGGGATGGCCATGGCTGGAAGGCGCGAGAGTGAAGCGCGGCATCAGCATCCCACCTTCACTGCAGTAAACCTGCACCGGCTGGTGGCACCAAGGCAGCCCTTGTCTCCTGCTGCTTAGGGCTCAGAGTGGTAAACCCTATCCGGGAAGTACCACAGCAGAGAGAAACAGCCGGAGTCAACCCTACCTTTGCTGTCCATTGCGGACACTAGATCGGCCTCCTGCAAACCCTTGTCTCTTGAAGAACCCGGCTGAAGTTTCATGCGCCGCTTCAGCAGACGCTACTCCAGAGATGAGAGTTTGCAGGGGGCCGATCTAGCATCCGCAGGGGACAGCAAAGGAAGGGTTGACCCCGGGTGCTTCGCTCTGCTAACAGGCGGCCAAGCTAACCGACCGAAGGACCTCATCCTGTCCCTGGGAGTCAAAGCGCTGAAGTCCGAGCGGGGTGGGAAACCTCAGCTGGGCTCCACGAGAGGAATCCAAAGATTTCTCTCTGGACCACCAAAACTTTCTTGCGGACCACCAGTGTTCTGTAGACCACTGGTTGGTGGTCACTGGTTTAATCGTCTTTCAAGACAACTCATATTCCAATATAGGTTTTTTAAAGTTACATGCAACATTTATCTTCTTCTATCTCTTCAGGAATTAAAGCAAGATATTTCCAGTTTTCGCTTTGAAGTGTTGGGTCTTTTGAAAGGAAACAAACTGGCTAATTTACCACACTCTAAAACTAGCACCGAAGTCTCCTCCGTGACAGAATCTGATGAAGGAAGTGAAAGTGGAGGAAATGAAAAACTCAGGAAGAAAAACCTCAGTCTTTTCAAAATAACTACAATGATCCACCCAAGAGTGGTAGCAAAAGTCTCCAAAGCACACGGCCAAAGCAATGGGTCGGCCGTGGTGTCCCCTGAGCCCACCAAGGAAAAACAGAAGAAAGTGACCTTTGTAGCTGATGTAAAAAAGCTTCGGCTGTTTCATAGACAATCAAGCAATAGCTCTGCTGAGCAGAGTGCAAATAAAATCTATTCGATTTCTGAAGAAATTTCCCATCAACAAGCAGAAGAACACAAGAAAGTAATTGAACTGGGAGATAAATCATTGGCTGTGAACTGTGAACTACACAAAGAGGATCTCAGGGCAAAGGGCTCAGTTCCCAGTACTAAGCAAGGCAGAAAGGAGACTTTCAACTCAATGCTGGAGAAGGAAACGGCTCCTCCGGACTGGACGACCACCGAGGGCTCAGGCTTCCCCAGAGAAAGTGATTTGCTAAACAATGAGCAGGACGTCAACATCACGAAGGAAGAAACAAATATTCAGAGCAGCTATATGACAACAAGGTTGTGATGAAAGCAGGCAGAACCTGTAAAATTATGTATAAATTGTAAAATGCTTTGAAGCAGAAATATTTAAACCTAGCTACCAAATACAGTATTAGAATATTTAAAGGACAAAATTTTGTAATATAATTCTATGACAAAAAATAAACAGAAAAATCTGTTTTGTAACCCATTTTTGTTTTCACAATTACTTTTATATATTTTATTAAGCAGGAATGTCTGGTATTCTTGTATTGTTGCAATAAACACAGAAAGGTTTATAGATATCTTTTTAAAATCTAAATTAAAAAACATTTTCTCTGTGATAGTTGATGCCTTTAGTTAAATATTTTTCTATACTTAAACATAGCTTAATAAAAGTGTGAGCCAATATGAATGTGTTTTAATGTTTCCTATGGTGTGTGTGTGTGTGTGTGTAGGTATGTATATATGCTGACCAGGACCTACGAAAAACTCTAAATCCGAAGAGCCGCCATCTTATGTGACCTCACATTCCTGCGCAACTGCTGAGACAAAAATGTGACCCCCACATGCTTCCAAATAAAATTCCATTCTAAAACCTCAGCCACCGAAAGGATCCTGAAAAGAACTCAATTAGCCCTAATCAGAAAGAAACTCCACAGGAAAAGATTCCTACTAGACCAACCCAACAGGGACCTACTCACTCTTCACCTCAAACTCAGCAACAAAATCCACCCAGCACACTGGGACAAATCCAAACAACTAGCCCTCTGGAGAGCGGAAACAGAAACCTCCCACAAGACAGACACACACACCAACAAACTCCACA